TGGTAGAAGATGAATGTGTATCATGAATCAAGGTATTTTACTGTTCTCTATTTTTACCAAATGTTTTCAATGCAAATAACCTTTACTAAATCATGAACTGAAACCCAAACTATTCAAAGAAACCTGGGCCTTTCTCATCAAGTTGGTTGACGAAGCTAACAAAGTTATAAACTATAAAGTTCAAGGCCATGGACATTTTCTCGTTGGATTCAATAAAAACAACCCATCAAAGAACACGTTCAAAACAAAGTAGATTACCAACCAAAACTAAGAAAAATACACAAAACCAATGTTCAAAACAAACATTATAAAAGAAAAAAAAAATGCATAACATAAATTCAACATTAATCCAACAATAGTTGTGAAATTTGTAACAGAGAGATCCATTTTTTTAAAAAAGTCTTCAAATAACAGCGATTTCTGGTTTATAATATTAAAAATGAAGGGAGATGGAAGGCAAGGAAAGTTCATGGCTGTTTGACTTGTCATTCTATGCATCACAGAATGTGAAGGAGGAAGGTGCTGGGAAATTGCCAAGAAAATGACCAGAAATAAACACACTTTAAATAATTGGCTCCACTCCGACAGGTCGTCGTTGTTCTTAATGTGTTTTCTGCAATCCGAAATTTCATGGGTAATTTACAATGTCGTGTTTTTCTGCCAAAAGGACGTTTTTGTTTTGTTTGTCCTTCGGAATTCGTACATTGTTGACCCTAAGCTACAGAAATCCACAAAAACGTGCCGTCAATGTCTTATTAATGGATTTGATAGAAAAAAAAAAAAATCCAAATTTGACTATCCTTATTCTTGTTTATGATCCCCACGTTTGTATATAGTATTCAGATGATAACAACATTCAAATCCATTTGTTCTTATTGTATGAACAGGAATTTACAGATATAATTTAAGTCTACAAAACACAAACTTCGCCTCCTCTCCCCCTAGTTTAATTGAACCACAAGAGCAGCCATCAGACAGCACCTTTTGATACTCAACCCCACATATGAATGTTCTAAGCAAAGAAATCCATGAATTACAGGACAAGATTCTGGGAAGATTATGATATAAGCAAACAAGATCAGCTTGAGTTTATCTCTCACGCTTTATTTTATTTTTCTTTTCTTTTCTTTTCCTTTCTTTTTTGCCTAATAAGGGCTGCATGTTGGCTGTTCATCGAGCTAAATTCATTAGAGTTGACTAGAAAAGTTACTGCTACGAAGGTCTTCGCAATGAGAATGCAAAATATCTATTTATAAGGCTCCTAAAGCCACAAGTTGTGACTTTTGATAGTCTGCAACGAAGGAAACAGCAACAAGCATGAGCAAATTCGAATCCAGTTACCATGAGATTCTACTTCTTGACATAGGCAAAGCCGCCCGAAGGAGGTGGAGAATTGCCTTTGCAGTAATATCCTCAATTCGGGCCATGCTTTCCCTAGCAGTGTCAAGAAGAAAAGATCATTGCAGTTTAATCAACTGTGAGATCTTGGAGGAAGGTTCATATGAGGAACAGATAGTCTACACCAAAGATGATCAGAAGAAGCTGATTGAAATGGTAAAGAACAAAAACTTGGAAGCTTACTGTGAGCATGGGAAAGCTCCAGCCATTGCTAAGTCTCTAGGAACAAATCCAGAGAAGGGAATCAAGGATAATGATGATGTTGTGAATGAACGACGTCAAGTATTCGGTTCGAATACTTACCACAAGCGGCCTCCCAAGAGTTTCCTTCATTTTGTGGTGGAAGCTTTCAAGGACACCACCATTGTCATTTTACTTATATGTGCGGCTCTGGCACTTGGGTTTGGAATAAAAGAACATGGAGGACAAGAAGGATGGTATGAAGGCGGGAGCATATTTGTAGCTGTTGCGCTGGTGGTTGTTGTTTCAGCCATCAGCAACTTCAGACAGGAGATTCAATTCGAGAAGTTATCAAAAATAAGTAATAACATCAAAGTGGAGGTAGTTTGTTTTTATTTTTAGTTCAATAAAAGAAAGTTTAGACTTCGCACCTTAGACATCAAAGAAAGTTATTAGTTTCTCCATCACTGAGCTATGCTCATATTGACCAAAGCAGAGTCTTAATGATAGATTATGATCAATTTAATCTAGTCTTATTCTTAACATTACTAGAGTTTTTCTTCGATATAGTACTTCTTACTCTAATACGATGATAAACTACTACTAAACCCAAAAAGCTTCATATTCCCCCTAACAGGTAGTGAGAGATGGAAGACGCATAGAAGTTTCCATCTTCAACATAGTGGTTGGAGATGTCGTGGTTCTAAACCTTGGGGACCAAATTCCAGCAGATGGGTTGTTCTTAAGTGGTCATTCATTGCAAGTGGATGAGTCAAGCATGACAGGAGAGAGCGATCATGTGATACTCGATTCAACGGAGAACCCCTTCTTGTTGTCTGGAACAAAAGTTGTAGATGGCTATGGTCAAATGCTGGTGACATCAGTGGGAATGGACACGGCCTGGGGCGAGATGATGAGCTCGATATCTCGGGATTCTGAGGAGCAAACACCTCTGCAAGTTCGTCTTAACAAATTGACCACTACTATAGGAAAGGTAATGTTAAATTGACAACTAAATCCAAAACCTCATATTGATAGTTTGAAGTAAATTTAATCTTTTATTCGTATTCTCTAAACAGGTAGGCCTCTCAGTCGCCTTCATAGTCCTTGTTGTCATGTTGGCGCGCTATTTCACAGGAAACACAACCGATGATTTTGGGAACACAGAGTACAATGGTCAAAAAACAGACATAGATGATGTGATCAATGCAGTTACCCGTATAGTTGCTGCTGCAATTACCATAGTAGTTGTTGCAATCCCTGAAGGCTTGCCATTGGCTGTTACATTAACACTCGCTTATTCTATGAAGAGAATGATGGCAGATCAGGCAATGGTGAGGGAACTTTCTGCTTGTGAAACGATGGGATCAGCAACTGTGATTTGCACGGACAAAACAGGAACTTTGACATTAAACAAAATGAAAGTTACCAAATTTTGGCTCGGCCAAGAGTTCATTGAGGAAGAAAACCCTTCCCACACCATAGCAGAGACTGTTAGTGAGTTAATAAATCAAGGAGTTGGCTTGAACACAACTGGTAGTGTCTATCAACCTTCTCCAGAATCCGAAATTGAAATCTCTGGTAGTCCAACTGAGAAAGCCATTCTCTCTTGGGCGGTCTCAGAATTCAGTATGGACATGGTAAAGTTGAAAAATGCATATTCCATTCTTCATGTGGAAACCTTCAATTCAGAGAAGAAAAGAAGTGGGGTTTTGGTGAGAAAATTGGCTGATAACACAATCCATCAGCACTGGAAAGGAGCTGCTGAGATGATACTCTCAATGTGTTCTTGTTACATTGAAAGAAATGGGAAAACATATCCCTTAGATAACGAAAGCCGAAGAAAACTTGAGAATATAATCCAAGGAATGGCAGCAAGTAGCCTAAGATGCATTGCCTTTGCTTATAGACAAATCTCAGAAGAAGAGGAAAAAAATAGCATGCCAACTGCCTCAGACGTGAAAGAAGATGACTATATATTAATGGGAATAGTTGGCATGAAAGACCCATGTAGACAAGGGGTGAAGAAAGCTGTGGAAACATGTAAATCAGCTGGAGTTTCCATTAAAATGATCACAGGTGACAACGTTTTCACAGCAAAAGCTATAGCCACAGAATGTGGAATACTAGATTTCGATCACAACACCGCATGCAGAGGAGAAGTAATAGAAGGTTCTGAATTCCGAAACTACTCAAGTGAAGAAAGACTGCAGAGGGTTGATCAAATCAAGGTGATGGCAAGATCCACTCCATTTGACAAGCTTTTGATGGTTCAATGCTTGAAACAGAAAGGCCATGTCGTAGCAGTAACTGGAGACGGCACGAACGACGCACCCGCTCTAAAAGAGGCTGACATTGGACTTTCCATGGGCATTGAAGGCACTGAGGTTGCAAAGGAGAGTTCAGACATCGTTATCTTGGATGATAACTTCACTACAGTAGTCACAGTCTTGAGGTGGGGAAGATGTGTATATAACAATATCCAGAAATTCATCCAATTTCAATTGACAGTCAACGTAGCAGCTCTCACAATTAACTTTATAGCAGCAGTATCAGCTGGAGAAGTTCCCTTAACAGCAGTCCAATTGTTGTGGGTGAACCTCATAATGGATACACTGGGTGCTCTTGCACTTGCTACTGAAAGACCAAATGATGAACTAATGCACAAGCCTCCAGTGGGAAGAACAGAACCCCTAATAACAAATATTATGTGGAGGAACCTTCTAGCCCAAGCTTTATATCAAATAGCAATACTCCTAATTTTCCAGTTCCAAGGAAGCAACATCTTCAATGTAAGTGAAATGGTAAACGATACACTAATCTTCAACACTTTTGTCCTCTGCCAAATCTTCAACGAGTTCAACTCAAGGAAACTAGAGAAACAGAACGTCTTTGAAGGCATTCTAAAGAATCATCTATTTCTAGGAATTGTGGGAGTAACGGTTGTTCTACAGGTTATCATGGTAGAATTCCTAAAGAAATTTGCAAATACAGTGAATCTAAATGGCTGGCAGTGGGGACTTTGCATTGCTATTGCAGCTGTTTCTTGGCCTATTGGTTGGATTGTCAAACTCTTGCCCGTTTCTGATAAGCCTTTCCTTAGCTACTTCAAGTGTTTTAAGGGCTGATCAGTTAACCAAATCCCTTCCCCAAATCCTTAAGCCTATTTATTACTGCAGTGGTATTCTACAACTCATTTTATCAGCTCCCCGATGAACAAAGAATCCATCAGAGAGACAGAGTTCAAATGATTTCTAAGCGATTGGGAAGAGGCGTCTTCATTCATTCAGAGTACAAAATCATCTATCAAGAAATCCTTACAGCAGGGATTGAATTTTGGAAAAACCATAAGCATCTAGTATCAGCATTGCAAAATGCAGTATAGTTCACTTGAATTTGTTCTAGGTATAGTGGATTGACAATTATCATCAAGGATTTGCTACTTGTATGGCTTGAAATTTGAATTGTTTCAAAATAAACACAAATACTGTTCTTATTTCTTTTTACATTTTCTCTATCTCCGCAATTAAAGAGAAGAAATAGCGTACCGATAATCAACGGCGGAAGAGCATTTCCCTCGCCGGAATTCTTCAATCTCTACCTTCTCCCTCGCAGTTTTCGTTAATATCTCCAAATTTGAAGATTTGACGATTTAATACCTGACGGATTAGAGATCGAATTCAACACACAAACTAAATGTAGTTCAGAGTGAAAATAAATCAAAGCGGCAAGAACAAAAAAAAAAAAAAATCAAAATCAAAGGGTATCAAAGGGTGTTAATAGGGGGCTATACTGGCAGCTTTTGAGCGGGAAGGGCACAGCCATTGCGCCTATGCCTTAAACCACTCTGTAGCCCTGTAATTCAACCTCTTGCATGCAATCCAATAATAAAAATAAAAATAATAATAAATTTCAAATTTTAAATAATTTTTTATTTTTTATTTTTCAAAGCTTATAAATAATAATAATAAATAAATAAGCTAAGTTTTTGATTTTCTAAAAGAACTATTAAAATTTGAGGTGATGGCAGAAATAGTGCACTAGAAGAGAACGTGGAAGCGGGTCGCAATTTCTGGTCAAGACGGATATTGTGGCGACGAGTAACTTCCTGACCTAGAAGAAACTCAAGCAAAAACGGGGACGTTGGCAAGCAAGACAAACTTGCCAAGTTTGATTGATATAGTGCGTCAATCTGCCACTTTGACGGACCAACCAAGTTGCGGACGACCTGCTTAGCGATAGAGCCACTCTCTTTTGAGTCAATGGGAAATATCACTAATTAGTCGAATGAACCTATCCCTCTGACCTATCATTGTTGGGTCAATCCAATTAAACCATAAATTTGACCTATCTTGACCTCCCGTCTAGTCCATAAATCGAACCCAACTTCTTTCTAATCCATTAATTTCTACGAGCAGAGGGAATCCAGTTCCAAGCCCATTGCATAAGCTAAAAAAAGCTATAACCACCAACAACATAAGAGCCTATAACTCCCGGACATCATTTGTGGATGATGTAATTAATAAAATTTGTTTAAATAATGTTAGAAAATAAAATATTTATTATTAGATTTGATAAAATTGTAGATTTGTATACGTGGATATTAAAATAGAGTGGTTGAGAGTGATGTAATTGGACATGAGAGAAGAAGGGTAGGTGCATTAAATTGGGAAGTGAGGTTTGAATTAAAAAAGCATGCGTTGAAATTCTAAATTATTTATTTATTTTTTTATTTTTTTTTTTTTTAAAAGGAAATTAATCAAATGCATTTAATTGGAGACAGAGATGTAACAGTGGAAAAAAACCCTCCTACTTCTCTGCCACCTGTCCATACCTATTCCCTCCTATAAATATAAATATTTAATATTTAAAGTTTATTAAATTTTAATTATTAATATATCATCTAACAAAGATAATTAATATTTTAATAAATGAAATTAATAAATATGTGTATTTCTTATATTTAAAATATAAAAAACTCTACTCCCGATAAAAATCTAGTCTAATATCGTGTAAATGACCTCCCCTTAATTGAGGCTCCACTCTTTTGTCTTAGTTATCTTTTACTTTGCCTTCGAGGACTCCTTTTCTTTTGGAGTTTTGTCTCCCCTTAATTCAGACTCGACTCTTTGTCTTAGTCATTTTTTACTCTGCTTTTGAGGAGGCTCGACTCTTTTTCTTTTGGAGTTCTTTATTCGACATTTGAGAGTTTACCAATCTATTGGCATGACTAAGTTTGGGGACATGACTCTGATACCATGTTAGAGGAATACTGACTCTCCACAATGGTATGATTGGCCTCTGATACCATATTAAATAAACACACTCTGGCATGACTAAGTTTAGGAGCACGACTCTGGTGCCATGTTAGACGAACACGACTCTCTACAATGGTATGACATTGTCTACTTTGAGCATAAGCTTATATGGCTTTGCTCTGGGCTTTCGGAAAAGGCTTCATTCGAATCGAGAGAGTATTCCTCGATTATAAACCCATAAATTATAGGTGAGACTTTCATGGTCAGGGTTAGTCATCTAATAATTTATTATTATTATTATTATTATTATTATTTTTAATTTTATTTCTTCCAAAACCTCTCTCTAAGTCTCCCCTTATAAATGAACCCAACGGACACATCCTGCCTTTCAATTTTTCAACGCGTCTTGCAAGAAGTACTTCAACTTTTCTTCTCGCTCTTTTCTTCTGGTCCGTTCATCTATGGCCTTCGAAATCTCCCTTTTCTCCTAAAGATTGCCGGCTTTCGGTCGCTCTTCATTTCTTCTGCTTCTTCTTCTTCTTCTTCCTTCTCCTTGAGCGACGTGAATGCACAGAGATGCTCGTCACACGGAGTACCTCTTCTTTTCCTTTTCGATTGCGTTTTATTGGGACTCGATTTGTTTATTTGTTTCGGACTCTCTTTTCTTCCTTTTGATTTTTTCGAAATCATCGTTTCCTGTGTGATTGAGTGATTGTGTTCGCGAGGGAAAAAGTGAAGCTGCCAGCATGATCTACCTTTGGTCGGCAGGCAACGCGTTAAAGAGAAAAGTGAGAAGATAAAGAGATTGGAAATGAGTTTTGCCTCAATTGCCAACCCTAGTTAGGTCATGCTCTGACAGCCTCACTCCTTCCTGCTTTCGAACTTTGGTGAAATTTCAATTCCGCTTCATTTCCACGAAGATTAATGGTAAATTCGTCATGTTTTTCTTTTTGTTTCGATTTGATTTTTCCTATTTTGCTTCTTTTTGTTGAATGTACCGTGTTCTCGTTGTTAGGTGTGCGATCGTAACTTTATTTCTCGTCTCTGCTTTTCATACACACGAAGATTAATCGATAATGTTTTGATTTACTTTTTTGTTAGGTTTAATGAGAATCGGTAGGCTCGTTGCTAGGCGTGCAATCCGAACTTTTATCCTCTCTGCTTTTTCCTTTGTTTTATTGTCTGTTTCTCCTTTTTTTTTTTTTTTTTTAGAGAGAATTGAATTTCTTTCTCTTTTGCTTTTGTTTGCTGCTAAAGTACGCTTTGCCTGCCTGCCTGTGCGTTGTGGTGGGGAACCACTGCTTCCCGTGGCCCATGTTTTTTGGCCTAATGTTTTTAATACCTCTTTTTCCTTGTACGGGTTCATGCTGCGGTTGGCTGAATCTCTTCGTTTTCCTATTGATCTAAATCATATATGGAATTTCTCATTCGGTTTCAGATTTGTTTTACTTTTCGCTGGGTCCAGTCTCTCTGTAGATTTAACTTCTTACTTTTCTTCACATTCCATGCAAGTTTTGAGTGCTATTTTGACTGAGATTATCTCCTTTTGTTTTTATGTTAGAAATAAGAAGTTTCTTTCCTTAAAGTCGTACATAATAGTTTTGCTTCATGCTTTTGGATGATTTTGAGCATGTATTGATTTCTAAATTTATTTTCAAATAGATTGTACTAAATTATGTTTTAGATGTATTCTTTTGGCAACCTTCAAGTAGTTGTTGCTCAGCTGTCAAACTATATCAAGTAACGTGAGTGTGAAGCTCCTCCCACTACGATTTATGTAAGTTTTTAGTTATTGTTCTTGCTTGATTAATCAAATGGTACACGAATGAATTGAGGCTATAATTGGGTGAAAATTCTTCTAATCATACAAAATCATATACGAAAAAAAAGCCTTAAAAAGACTGCATAGTTAACCATTCCAATATTATGTCTTAGTTAAGTGTGTTTGGTTTGCAGTATGTGATTTGCCATAAGATAAATAGTGTTCTTAAAAGTAGTTTAAGACAATTAGCTAATGGTTTATCTGGGTGACAGGTGTTTGATTTGGACTTTAAATATTGGTTAGAATCCTATGCATGAGTTCTATTTGTTTGTTTAGCTTAACTATGGTATGAATTTAGATTTTGATTCTGTATTAGATCAACTTGTGGGTTTTGTTATTCTTTTTAATGATTAAAGGTTCAATGTTTTGTCTTTCTTTTTGATTCATTAAAAAAAAAAAAAAAAAAAGTCTTCTTGAACAGTGTCCCTATTATTTTAGGATAAAAGTTTCAATGATGGTAATTTACTTTCATGGAAGTTTGAATAAAGAAAATAGTTTCTTCAACCATTTTAAAAAAACCTAAAAATCAATAGTTATTGATTATATATATATGTTCAGAATTATTGGAAGTGAGTCCCCCATTAGTGAAAGATTATAAGTGTATAAATGAAGAACATTATCTTGATCGGTACGAGGTTTTTTAGGAAAGTCATGAGAGCTTATGCTTATTGGTATCAGGCCTTTTAGAAAGCCATAAGAGCTTATGCTCGTTGGTATGAAGCATTTTAGAAAGCTATGAGAGCTTATGCTCATTGGTAAGAGACCTTTTAGTAAGCCATGATTAAGAAGTCATGAGTGCTTATGCTCATTGGTAAGAGGTCTTTTAGGAAGTCATCATTAAGAAGCCATGAGAGTTTATGCTCATTGGTATGGTAGTTGTGGGAGAAGTATGCACCTGATTGTAGAAGAGAATCACGTGCCCAAGGTAACAAATGCTTAAAAAAAAAGTACTAAAATTGAATATAAAAAGACGAAAAGAGGAAAAGACAATAGGCCCTAAACCCTAACAGAACTGCGGACCTCTTTTTGAGATCGATTCTCTCTCTAGTTGGGAGCTTCTTTATTATTATTATTATTACTATTATTACTATTATTATTATTTTCTATTTCAAATAATTATAATTTGATCTGATTTTCTTGCACCTAATAATTCCTTCTTCTAGGCTTATTTATAACATATAAATGACTTATGTTTATGTTTTTGTATAATTAATTTGTTTAATTTAACATAGATTACTATACTTGATTGGTTTTATTTATTTAGTTATGTCTAGTCTTGTATATTCTTCTGGTTGCTTCTTTTGTTTATCAAGATAGTTTAATGATAAATAATATTATATCATAATTTTTTTTTTAATTACAAGGAATAAAGAATTTGATGAACCATTTTAGTAAGTAGTTGATGCAAATGATGGGTAGGTAAGATATTAAAGTAATAAGAATGATTAAAATAGTTAGTTAATTTTTGAAATTCTACAAAGTAGATTGAACCAAACCCTAATTAGAGTAGAGCATGGGATTCTAGAAAAGTGGATGTCAAAAAAGAAGAAAAGAAGCTCCCAATTCCAAAGACAAAATGATGGGGAAAAAACAGCAATTATTATTATTAATAAGAATTAGTGTTACACAACTTCAAGGGTTGAAACTATTGGGGTACCCATTTTTAACTCAATTTTAGCACCTTTTTTTTTTCTTTCTTTCTTTATGCTTGCATTAATCAATCGTATCAGCATTAGGAATAATAACTCTCTACAATGGTACGATATTATCCATTTTGA